GGCGGTGTGTGGATTTCCCACATGTCGCCATGCTCGTAAAGATCTGGAGGTGCGCTCTCCCCCACGCGCATGTCGCTAGTGGCTGATGATACGGTAGGTGAAACTTGTGAAGTGTCGTAGGGTTTAGGGGGCTGCCGGAGGCCAAGACAGCCCGCTGCACTTAAGGGGCCCTTAAGTGCAGCGGATCTGCTCCTCCTTCGGAGGGGCTCCCGGAGGCGCATGACGTCGTCGGCGTAACCACTGCAGGAGTCGGAAGTGCCGTCGTTGCGCTGGTAGTCTTCTGGTATGATGCTGGGCCGCTCCCCCTGGGCCAGTTGCCCCCCAGGGGGTGAGGGCCTTGTTAGTTTTTTGGTGAGTTGACCGCGGGGGCTTCCTCGTCGTAGAGGAAGGCTGGCACACGGTCTCCTGGGTCTGCGAAGCCGTCTCCGATGTCGCAAATGCGGACTTTCTTGTGCTTGGCCGTTCGGCTAGATGATCCGTTTTTGCGGAGAGCGGTGCGGGGTGGAGGAGCGGAGGTGGCGCGGTCAGGCGTGGCGAGGTGGAAGCGGGGTGGTGGTTGGATTGGCTGCATCGGTGCGGTAGGGGATATGTCGGCTAGTGGAATGCGCACTGGGGTGGAAGGTGGTGGTGCATCGTCGTCGGAAGTGATGTCAATGAGAAGAGTAGTGGATGGGTGGGTGTGCCGATTTGGGTCTGTCCTTCTGGTGCGTGTTGGTGGCGCTGAGCTGGGTCGGTCATGCTGCAGATCGGGTGGGTGGAAATCGATGGGCGTGGGCTGCTCAGGGGGGATTGGCGTATGCAAGGCGGGGGTAGGTAGTGGCGTAGGGGCAGGGAAGGGATATGCGTCGCTCGCAACAGGGGTTGGGCTGCAAAGGTCGTCGTCGTCAGCTGGGATTGGAGTGTGCACGCTGGCGTCGTCGGCGTCGTGGCATGGGCGTCGCGCAGTAGGAGTGGCGGTTGGCGTCGCAGGTGTCGGTCGTGGTGGTGGTGTGCTTCTGCGCTGTCCGCTGCTGCTAGGCTGTCCACCGCTGCTGCTGCCGCAGTTTCTGAGGTAGAGTTGGTAGCCCGAGTCCTCGGAGGTAGAGGGTGGGGTCAGCAGGTCGAGTGCCGCTTGTACCTGTTGGTCGATTTGTGCTTGTTCGGCGTCTGCTTGGGCTTGCAGTCGTGCGTCTTCCTCGTCTCGTTCTTGAAGTTGTGTGTCGAGCTCCCTGAGGATGTCCACGTCGATGCTGGTGCCGAGCTCATGGGCTTGCTGCAGTTCGCAGTGCAGTCGCTCGCGCTCCTGTCTGTGTTGCTGAAGGTGCTCCTGAAGTTGGAGTTGGTGCTGCTCCTGGAGTTCGTTCTCGAAGCGTTGCATGTCGCGGGAGGTGCCTCGAAGCTTGTCGATCTCGCTGTTGTACTCGCTCTGGGCCGTCAGAGTGCGGTACTTCTGAGCCTGGACCTGTCCGAACTCCTCCAAGAGTAGCTCCTCGGTGGCGTGGGTGATGGCGCGGAGGGGGCCGAAGAGGAACTCCAGCTGGCTCCCGGTGCGCTGCAGCTCGCGCTGCAGCCGCTGTGACTTGCAGTCCAGCTCGTAGCGCTTCAGCGTAGACAGCCAGGTGATGGCGAACCCAGCCACTACCAGCACGCCGTTGAGAAGCCCGACGCTCAGCACCGCCACGCCCGCGTGCTCCCGCCAGGACGGGCACGTCCTCGCCAGCCACGTGCCGGCGGCCTGACCGGCTCCGCCGCCCTGGACACGCGGCCGCGAGCTCCCCCACCGCACCGCCGCGTGCCACCGCGTGGCCGGCAGCCCGTCCGGGGCCCGGCCGCGGCAGCGCGCAGCGGCCGCCGCGGCGCGCAGCCAGGCGGGCGCCGAGGCCATGCGCCCCCGCCAGCGCCCGGATCAGAAGCGGATCCGGGGCGAGAAACTGCGGTGAGGCCACTTGAGCCAAAATGGCTACGGACCCTCCTCCTCCTCCTCCTCCTCCTCGTCCTCGTCCTCGTCCTCGTCCTCCTCCTCCTCCTCCTCCTCCTCCTCCTCCTCCTCCTCCTCCTCCCCCTCCTCCTCCTCCCCCTCCCCCTCCCCCTCCTCCCCCTCCCCCGCCCTGTGCGCTGGGCGGGTCCGCTGCCTCGTGGGCGCCTCGCGAGCGCCCCCGCGGCGCGGGGTGAGATCTCGCCACGCTGCCCCGCCCGTGGGCCCCTCGTGGCGCCACGCTGCGGAGTCGCCACGCTGCCGCCGGCGGGCGCCCCGTGGGCGCCCCATGCGTGCACGGCACAGTTCACACCACATATATATATATATATACATATATATATATATATATATATATATCGCACCGCATATCTTGCACCTCGGAGCTCGTACCACCTCGAGTTCACGGCATGGCTTACGCCGCATAGCTCGAAGATCATAGCTCACACCACCGCCCTCCCCTCCCGGATTAGTGCCGCCCAGGACACGGCAAATTACATAAGGTGCTGCCTCGTCGTTCATATTCCATGTGAAGGCATGCTATCCCAGCCAGGCCAGTATCGACCCGCCCTGCCCCTGTCAAATAATACTATGCGCGAGCACTCGTCTACCCCAACAGATAATTGCCTAATAATCCCTTGCGACGGTAAAACAACTGCACAACGTCCTCTCGCGCGCGCCCATGCCAACATCACACAAACCACATCAGTTGTGCAACAGTGTTTTGCATCGAGTCATGAGCACCCTTGGGTTTTTGGCACTGCACATTTTGCAGATCTGGTGCCCGCGCACTTGCTGAAACCAGAGGAACACCGTGTTATGTCAGCAATGTCGCCCAGCATCTGCATTCTTATTTCACCACGCGGTGCACCTGCACTGATCTAGCAAGCATGCGCCCAGTGCACGCACCCGTATCACATACTACCATGCGGGCCACACGCGTGTGCCGTCACGCGCACGTGCCAAAATCCGTCGCAAGCCAATGGTGTTCGACACATTTCAAAATAGAGCTGTTGAGAAACATCTGAAAGACCAAACGTTTGTCAACAACAAATCCGCCCAAATTTCTTGAACCTCTGCGCGCGCATTTCCTCACCATCGCCGTCATCAACGCTATCACACCACCACCGTCATCGTCACCGTTGATCGTCGCCAGTGCCGTCATCACCAGTCGACCACCTTTATCGCCGACGCATGGAACTCATCATCGTCATCATCGTCACCAGGCTCGGCGCCGTCATTGGCCTTGACCTCGCCATCGTCATGCTCGACATGGGCCAAGATGGCTTCCAAGAGGTCCCAAGAAACGTCACACAGGCCCGCATGGGCCTCCAGAACCCCCCCGACAAACCCCAAGAGTCCGCCAAGATTGAAGGGGCCCTGGGACACACACATAAATACACACAAATAACATGATTTCCCATATTTTCCCATATTTCCTGGGTTTCTATCTTCCCCCCACTTCCCATATTTTCCCATATTTTCTGGGGAATCGTGTATTCATTGTGTCTGTGTGTTTTTTCTCCTCCTGAAAGATGCTCCGACGGCCCACGAAGAATTTGGTTGGTTGCCTTCGTGCGCTTTCGGCCTTCGGTGCCTAGACTTGGCTGGGGGCGTGCTCGGTCGAGTGTTGCACTCGATGCGCCGAACGACTGCTTCGCCACCACGGTGGCTTCACACGACAGATGGGGGAAACTACCGCCGCACACCTTCCCTGTGCCCACGAGCAGGCAAACAATGGCAAAGACGATGCACTTTGGGCCGACGGGAGTGCGCGAAGCGGTTGGATTATGGTGCTGGTAATTGTGAGGGTCGGAGTAGAAGTATCAAAAGAGAACCAAACACACCAACAAGAAAAACGCAAACCGCAATCTGTACACTGCAGCACATCGACTTTGTCCAGCACGTGCAACGCAAGACTGTAGCTGGCACCATGCACTTGGGAATGTGAACCATACTGCGGCGCAGGGGATTGTACAATAGACAGGCGACGCCGTGAGGCAAGCGGAAACAAAAATGAATCTAATCGTTCAACTGAGGTCTTGCGAGTGCAATTTCCATCGGGTGCATTCGCGCTTCGCCTGGACTCCAAGCTTTCTCCTACATAGAAGTTCCGATTTCATTCAACTTCTCACAAAAAGGGACGGGCACCCTGGGTTCGTCTTGTGAGCGTTACCTTATTCGGCGTTTCGACATAGGGGGGAAGGGGGTGGGGGTGGGGGTCTGGCTCTGGACCTCTGCTTCGTGCGACGGGGTCCTATGAGGGGAGGCTCCACCTACTCGAAACAGGCGCCCCAAACAGGCAAGACCTACTTCGTGGGGGGGGGAGGGGGGGGGGTTTGGGGGCCCGCGCCGATCGGCAAGACGATGAAGAAAAGAAAACGACCACTTTGTAAATCCGTGGCTTGCTCCTGCTCTGCACTTCCGCGCGCCGGCCGCCCGCGGGCACCCAAACCCGGGTCAATGCGCGACCCTGGCCCTGCAGTGTCGTGCAGGATCTTTTTTTTTTTGTTTTTTTTTCAGCGCAATTTTGGGAGAAGGGGGAGGAAAGCAGAGGGGATGGAGCAATGGATGACCCCCGTTTGCATCGACCCCCGTCTCTTCAGCCCCGATGGCCGGCTTTTCTGCGCTTCCGGCCGGTGCCCGCCCGCTGGCGAGTCATACGCTGGCTGGCGCTTCTGGGTGCACGCGCCGATTGCACGACACAGCTTGCACCACAAGCTGCATTGCATGGCTTGTGTCCCATAGCATGCACAACGCCGATTGCACCACATGGGTTGCACCACAAATGCTGCACCACATGAACTGCGCCACATATCTCTCAGATGACCCCATGCGTAGACTGCACCACACAGCTTGCGCCAGACAGCTTGCACCCTACAGCTTGCGCGAAGTAGTTTGCACAACATAAACTGGATCCACATATTTCACCCACATGGTGCAAAAACACTTTGTTAGGGTCAACATATATACTCTTGTGTTTACCTGTCTCGTATTCATTATCGACTGGGCATCTGCATTCCACGCATGATGGGGGCGATACCGTCTAAGCCTGAGCGCAGCAACTCCGGTTGATAGGCAGACCCTTCGGTGCCAATCTGCCCTCCTGAATAAACAAAGCACCCCGAGCAGGAAGGCAACGCAATTTGCCGCCGCGGCTTCCTGTCGCGTCTGGCATGCCGTTCTCCTTCATAAGTGCCTTGAAGGCCTGCCCGCGGAGAGCGTGGGCGCGCGGGAGGGTGGCGGGAGAGTGTCGCGCAAGTACACACGTCGCGCGGTTGGGCGTGCAACGTGGCCGCGCCCAGAGAGCTAGAGCGATGTTACAACACCGTCGAACAACTACTTACTCTGGAGCCAAAGCCCCACTCCCCGTGAAGCTTCCTAGAACCACCCCGTCAGGCTTCTGGGACCCTTTCGACATCCCTCTCAAACCTCCTCCACTCCCTAACTACGTGTACCCCTCGTCCTGCTAGTGCCACCCACTTTTCCTCCTGCTCCTCCTGCTTCTCCTCCTCCTCCCTCCTCCCCCTATTCTTCTACCGCCTCCTTGCCCTTCCTCCTCCTCCTCCTCCCCTCCTCCTCCTCCTCCTCCTCCTCCTCCTCCTCCTCCTCCTCCTCCTCCTCCTCCTCCTCCTCCTCCTCCTCCTCCTCCTCCTCCTCCTCCTCCTCCTCCTCCCCCGGGGGGGGGGCGACGGCCGCTGGGGCCAGGACCAGGGGAGGGAGGTTCTCGCGCCATTTTTCGGACGTCCCTTCCCTGTGTTTTTGTTCGGTTTCGTGCGTGGCTTTTTCGCCAAAGGATCAAGGGTGCTCCTCGAGGGTCCTCGCCGGAGGAAAGATGCACACGTCCGAGCGATGCCAGGGGCTGGGTCCAGGGCCAGGACCGGGGGGACGACGACGAACGAAAATACAGGGTCCAGGGCGAGGGGGACTGGGGCCAGGGCCGGGGGGGGGGAGGCTGGGTCCAGGGCCAGCGGGGCGAGGGGGACTGGGGCCAGGGCCGGGGGGGGGGGAGGCTGGGTCCAGGGCGTGCAGCTTGCCTCCACTGAGCACGCGCCGGCCGTGTCGCCCTGCAGAGGTCGAAGCCCTGCTCTCCGCCAGGAGTAGGAGGCAGACGAACCTGCCTCGCTTTGGACCACCCTGGCTTCCAAAACATACCGAACGATACCGAGCTACGGCCCGCACCAGTCAGGCCGCTTGACGAGGAGGCGCGTGGTGTGACTTGGTGTTGTCTGGAAGCGACAGCGAGGTAGGTAATTCACGCTCTGAAGGAGGGAGCGCCTGCCTGGCCCTCCCCATCCTCCACGAGCCTCCACCGCCACAGCACACAACCCGCCGGTGTGCGCACCCGCACGGCCACGCGCGCGCGCACGCACGCGCGCAGACGGACAGGCAGGCAGGGAAAGAGCGATGGGGCCGAACGGTCCCACATTGTCCCACGGTGCGCGGCCGAAGTGGGGTGCCGCGGTGCGGATCTAGTTGTAGATGCGGCAGCCTCTGCGTTGTCGTCCGACGTTCGCTCTGCCAAGGCAGGCACTCCAGGCGCCCCTCACCGGCGACGCAACTGCAGGGAGCTAGGCACACAACCAACGCGTGGGCGTGTCGTCAGGAGTCAAACACCCAGGTCGCGACCCCCTGGGGAAGAGAACGTGAGAAGGACCGATCCCGCAAGCCTGCTGCAGAAACTGTGCACAGAGCTTGTCTTGTGCAACCTGCCGTGTCTCTCTAACTTCCTCGTCGGCCGAGGCGTGCGATACCGAATGGACCGGCATGCCCAAACAGGAGGCACTCATTTTAAAACTTCTCGCTCTCCTCTTCTTCCTCCCATTCCTCGTTATGCTCCTTCTCCTTCTCCTTCTCCTCCCATCCTCCTCTGCCTCCTCCCCCTTCTTCTCCTATTCCTCCTTCTTCTCCTCCTCCTCTTCCTTTCCTTCCTGCTCTTTTTCTTCTCTTCTTCCTCCTTCTCCTCCTCCTCCTCCTTCTCCTCCTCCTCCTCCTCCTCTTCCCCTCCTCACTCCGACGTAGGGGGGCTCGAGGTCCGATGTCGATCCCCTCCTCTTTCCCCTTGCCCCTCCTCCTCCTAGTCCACTCCTCTTTCCGTATACCCATACGATCACCATGCGGGCTGTGAGGAGGTCAGGGAGTTGGGCTTGCAAGTGAGCGATTAGCATGACCATCAGGACAACTGTCAGGACAACCATCGGGACAGCAGTGGGGACAACAATAGTGACGACCATCGGGACAACGACGGGACAACTGCGCGACAACCACACGACAACCACAGGGCAGACACAAAACAACCACGGGAAAACCACGGGACAACCACGGTACACAGACGGGACAACCACGGAACGACCACGGGACGACCACTGGACAACCACAATGCAACCGCGAGACAACTTGCGGGACAACGATCGGACAGCCACGGGACAATCGTCGGGACAATCACGGGAACAGCCACGGGACAACCGCGGGACAACTGCAGGACAACCAGGGGACACAACGGGGCAGCCACGGGACGACCACGGGACAATCGCGGGCCAGCCACAGGAGAAGCAGAAGACGGCCCCGCTCGGGCCCCGGGCCCAGCTGGGCAGGACATCGCGCAGCCCCGCCTCGCCTCGCCCGCACACGCGTCACGCGACAACGAAGCGGGCTTCCTGGCTGGAAGAATCCGTTCTACTCGGCCTCACCACCTCATCCTCCGATGTTGATCTCGCCTGAATGCCGCGTACATTCGTCTTGAACACTTCCAAGACCTACCAAGATGGATGACGGTCCATTTCAGTCATGGGGCTGCCGCTTGAGACTTGTTCAAACAGATGGCGGGTCCAGAAAACCCTGGACAAAAACACCTTGCCATCTCTTGAGAAGCAGATGATTACTTCCGCCAGCTTCCGCATCGTTTTGCTTGCGCCGCCTTCCGCCGAGGAAGAGATGACAATTCCTTCGATCTTCGAGGACTGGGCCCTTTCTTGAATGCCTTACATGTCCAGACAGGAAAGGACGACATGTGCGACAGCTGCATGAACGGAGGGCAGCGCTTTTTCAAAGTTGGGCTCTCGCATGAGACGTCCTCTTCAGTCATCACTCGATGTGTGAACTTGTGCAACCACTCCACAAATTGATGGCGCCTCCCTTTCAACACGGCGTTCTCACTGGACACCCCCTTGAGCTTTATGATCCAACCCTCACCCTCCTTGCAACTGAAAAGCTGCAGAGTTCCATTTCAAACTAAGGCTCTCTCGCTGGAATGGCAGGCTCATGGGACGTTCGACTTCCAAGGTGGCGCTTCCCGTAATGAGCAGGAATGCTTGTAGGGACATGTGAGGAGGACAGCTGGGAATAGAGGGCGTATTGCAAAACCGTTGATGCATCCTGGGCATCCCTCCCTCTCTCCCGCCCCCTCCCGCGCGCGCTCCCGCTTGCGGGGGAAGAAAAGTGGGAGGAGGTTGTGTAAGAGGAGGGGGAAGAGGGGCGGGAGGAGGAGGAGCCGGAGGAGGAGGATGAGGAGCAGGAGGAGGAGGACGAGGAGGATGAGAAGGAGGAGGAGGAGGAAGAGGGGGCGGGAGGAGGAGGAGGAGGTGGAGGAGGAGGATGAGGATGATGAGGAGGAGAAGGAGGATGAAGACGAGGATGAGGATGAGGAGGAGGAACGCGAGCAGAGGGAGAGGCTGCAGCGGGCTGCAACGATTTCCGACCGACAGTGCAGGAACCTCTAAACTCTGGGTGTGGTCGGCCCTGGCCACGCTGCCAAGCACGCGCAAGCGTCGGGAAACAAGGCAACGGCCGAGCTGCAGGATGGCAAGCGGAGGACAGAGAAAAGCCTTGGAGAGAGGAAGGTGAGATGTGGAGGGTCGACCGTGCAACATGTGTTGACAGACGATGGCAAGACTAGGTCACTTCCTTTTTTGCGCGGTGCTGGAAGCCGTTCAGCATCGTTGACTCCAGACCCAGAGTTGGGCCAGCTCAGCACGGCGGCTTCATATCACTGCTCTTGGTATGCTCCCTCCCCAATCCAACCCTCTCTCTACCACCTCCCTTCTCCCCCTCCTCCTCCTCCTCCTCCTCCTCCTTCTCCTCCTCCTCCTCCTTCTCCTCCTAACCTACCCTCCTTCAGGAATGCTGCCTGATTGCTCTCCTCCTGGTATGCTCCCGACCCCCGCTGCATATCCAACCTCCGCCTCCTCCCTCCCCTCCTTCCCCAGCTCTCCCGAAGGCTGCAGGCCCCCAGAGGGCTTCGGGAGGCCAAGCGAACACCAAACATTTTCCGAGAGACCTCTCGATGTGCCTCCCCTGTCCTCCTTCGACTCCTTGCCAGGAACTGCCCCTCCCTCCCTCAGGATGGCAGCCTGATTCCACTCCTCCTCGTCGCCGTCGAAGCCGGTGAGCTCGGCGAAGCGGCGCATCTCGCGCGGCGTCAGTATCTGCAGGGAAAGCCGCTCATAGTGTCAGGAGGAGGCGGTGGAGGTGGATGAAGCTTCCAGAGGACCAGGCGGAGGACTAGGCCTGTGCCGCCGCCAGTGCGTCTCCTCCTCCCTCCCCGAAGCCTGGCATGGGAGAGTGCGCGTGCTGTGGATGAGGGGCGCGTGCTTCGGAGGGGAGGAGGAGGAGGAGGAGGAGGAGGAGGAGGAGGAGGAGGAGGAGGAGGAGGAGGGTCAGTGCCGACGGTTTTGCGCATGGTGTGTGCGCTCTGCGCGCTCTGCGGAGCCGGTGCGTGCGCTGACGGCCTGGTGCCGAAGCTCGGCTCTGTGAGCGCCGGGTCCTCGGCCTGGGGCGAGAGGGTGCCCGCGGGGCTTCGGCCAACAGGTGATTCGATCGTGGTTTGTATATGAGCAGTGTGGGGTCAGTCGTGCGGCATTCCTGTTCGCAGTGTGGGCCTCCAGAAGCAAGAGCGGGAGGACGGGCAGGAGGAGGAGGGAGGGAGAAGGAGGAGGGGAGATTCAAAGATGAGGAGGATGAGGACCGGTGCAGACTCAAGACTCACCAACGATGTTGGAATACACCTTCCCTCCAAGCTCCCTTTTCACAAGCCCCATACAAATATTCACTTCCACTGAGGAAAGTGCCCCATTGGGAGACAACCGTTTGAAGATTTCAAGGCGTGCCAAAACACCATTCTCGGCACCCCAACGCCACGAATCAACCTGACCGTGACGTCTTGACAATAATGAATCGCGCCAAAACAACATTCCCGGGACTTCAACACGGCGAATCAACGTATCTGTTGCGCCCTGACAATCCTGAATCCTTACAAGACGCAATTTCTGGTACGTTGACCATGGGAACCCGTGAAACTCATGCAAATGCTTAAAACGAATGTGCGTGGCGCTAAGGCGAGAAACATTTGTTGAAAACGGCCCGCCCTCCATCCGTGAAGCTCTTGCGACATTTTTTAACGAATGTGCGCGACACTAAAGCGAGAACCAAATATTGAAACCGACCCGCCCTCTACCCGTGAAGGCTCTTGCAATTTTTTCAAGTGTGCGCGGCGCTAAGGCGAGAGACACATTTTCAAACCCGCCCGCGCTCAATTTGTGAAACTGTTGACACTGTTTGAACTTCAAGATCATAATGTTTAAGGTCGTCGAAAGCGAAGCACCCGGCCGGACCTTCCGACTGGCCTCGGGGTGGGATAGGGAGGAATTCTTCATAAGGAGAAGGAAAATAATGAAGGAAACGGAGGAGGAGGAGAAGGGGGAGGAGGAGGAGGAGCAGGAGCAGGAGCAGGAGGAGGAGGAGGAGGAGGAGGAGGAGAAGGAGGAGGAGGAGGAGGAGGAGGAGGAGAGAGGAGGAGGAGGAGAACGAGGACGAGGAGGAGGAGGAGGAGGAGGAGCATCCCCAGGAGCCAACAACCGTACCCTGGGAGGGAGTGAGGGGGCAAGGAAGACCAGGTCTCGGGAAATCTCTTGGGAACTCCAGGGGCCTGCGGAGGGCTTCAGAGGGGGAGGGGGAAGGGGAGGAGGAGGAGGATGAGGAGGAGGAGGAGGAGGTGGATCAGGGGGAGGAGGAGGAGGGGAAGGAGGAGGAGGAGGAGAAGGAGGGGGAGGAGGGGGAGGAGGAGGAGCAGGAGGAGGAGGAGGAGGAGGAGGAGGAGGGAGGGAGGGACAAGGAGGAGGAGGCGGCGGAGGAGGAGGAAGAGGAGGAATAGAACGAGACCTTTTCAGCGGAGCTTCGCTGTTGTGTTCATTCTGCAGGGAGAGAAAGGGAAGGATCAGGAGAACGGACAACGAGAACGATGGGACTCGCAGGCAGGAATCAGGAACCATTATCAACCTGGCTCCGAAGTCCCCGGTCGTGAAAAAAGAAAACGCAACATCAGTCGGAGGACGGAGGAGACAGAGGATGGCACTGCCACATGAAGAGGCCAAACAGTGCCAAGGCGAGAATAACGGGGTGTTGTCATCGGGGAGGGAGAGGGAGGGAGAGGGATGATGGATGTGGACGGGTGAGGATGCTGAGTATCATAATGCTGATGATGATGATGATGGTGGTGGTGATGAGGATGATGATGACGATGATGATAATACTGCTGCTGATGATGATGATGACGATGCTGGAGCAGATGATGATTCCGATTCTGACGATGATGATGCTGATGCTGATGATGATGGTGATGCTGACGATACTGCTGATGATGATGGTGATGAGGATGTTGATGATTATGGTGGTGATGGTGATGCTAATACTGATGATACTGATGATGCTGCTGATGATGCTGCTGCTGATGCTGATGATGATGATGATGATGACCATGGTGAGGGTGATGGTGAGGGTGATGGTGATATGACGATGGTGATGATGATGCTGATAATGCTGATGATGATGCTGATGATGATGCTGCTGCTGATGATTATTACGCTAATGATGATAATGTTGATGCTGATGGTGGTGATGATGATTATGATACTGCTGATACTTATGATGATGATGATGATGACGATGATGATGATGATGATGATGATGATGATGATGATGATGATGATGATGATGATGATGATTATGACAATGCTGATTATGATAATGATGCTGATGGCGACGACGATGATGCTGATGATGATAATGATGATGATGCTGCTGCTGATGATGATGTTTATGTTTATGTTTATGTTGATGTTGTTGTTGATGATGATGATGAGGAGGAGGAGGAGGAGGAGGAGGAGGAGGCCGCAGAATATCGGACCCTCGGCCAGCGAAATTAGTGGAGACGGCTGGCACGCCGCTCCTCTCGAGCTGAAGCCCCCCTCCGCCGAGCTCTCGGCATAACGCCTGGAGGCCTCCCGAGCGGGGTTGGAGCAGGTGGGGCCCTTCTCGTAAGCGTCAAGGAATGGGGGGGCGACCAATGAAGGAGGAGGAGGAGGAGGAGGAGGAGGAGGAGGAGGAGGAGGAGGAAACGTGCACCTCTCGTGCCCCTTCTGGGCCCCCAGGGGTGCTCCTTTCACCAGGGCCGCGCTCACGGCGATGTTGGTTGACGGCGATGTTGGGAATCTGTTTTTTTGTGACGACGAGCTCGCGCAGAACAAATGGTAGGACATCACGAGGCACACGTTCCTACATTTCACATGTGCGAATGTATCGAGCGAAAACGACGCAGGGAATTGTAGGACAACGCGAACCACCATGTCCTACAATTGGTCTGGCCACGAACCAGTCCCATCTACATTGCCGAAGCCTATGTACATCGCCGTTGCCTACATCGCTGTTAACGCGTCTTCGGTTTCAGGCACAAGAGGTGCACCTCTCTTCACCCCCCCATTAGTGGTACCCCCACCCCTCAGGGGGGGCCCCGGAGACCTCCACGGAAGCCTCCCGAGGCCAACGGGGCCCTCCAGAGATCCGCGAAGTTCTTCACGGATCCCCCAAACCACACATGGGGTCCCCAGATCGCGCCGCATCGCCGCTGCATCGGCTGGATGCATCGGCGCTGCTGGGACGGAGGGTGCATCGCGGTGCACCGGTGACGCGGGCTCGAGTCCGCGTTCTGAGATCGCACCGCATCGCCGCTGCACCGGCTGGATGCATCGGCGATGCTGGGACGGAGGGTGCATCGCCGTGCCTCGGTGATGCGGGCTCGGGACCGCGCCGCATTTCGCCGATGCATCGGCGATGCCGCGCAATCCTCCAGCCGTGTTAACTTGCCGTCGCTCGCACGTCCATTTCCCGTGCATTTGTTGGGCCCGTGCGTGTTTTTGGACTCGATGATCCAGGATGCTCTTCGATGGTCATCGCCACGGAAAAATGCGCACGTCCGAGGGATGCCAAGGTTGACGTCTGCCCTCTGTCGGGAGGCTTGGCAAACCAGACCCTCGCCCCGGAAACGGCCTTTTCCAATTGCCAGGTCGGAAAGCTGGGGGCACCTTGGTCCAGGCACTCTCCTGGCAGCATCCGAAGAGGAGGATGTCGCTACCCTTGGCTCGTTCTCCCCCTCGAGTGCCTCCTGATAGGCGGGGGTCCTCGACTGTCTGCTGTCTACTCTCTCTGACGTTTCCCACTCCGTTCGAAGGCGCCCGCCTCCTTTACACATCCCAGCGCCCGCGCGCCTCTGTGGTTGTTGCAAACGCAGCTGGCCAGCCCAGGCGTGCTTTTTCCGTATTCTAGGCTGTCTGCGCTGTGGCTCACCGCTCTGCTCTCGTCCGACAGTCAAAACCGATAGTGAGGATGCGTGATAAGGAGGCAAGCCCCTTAGATGCCCACGTTGATTTTTTGTTCGAGCGGGGCTGGCCATCGAAAGGGGTTAAGGATGGACCGAGGAGACAAGGACGCAAGGGTATACTTGGGAAGGTTGCCCATCCATGCCATCGGTTTCGACTGTACCATCGAGCACACGCGACACGGCGGATCCACACAACGCAGATCATGGGAGAGGGATGGGGAGGAAGCTGAGGAAGAAGGCATATCATGGACAGCAGCAACAGCAGCAAACTGAGGACGGGAACAACATCTGGAACGATAATAAGACACCCGTACGTAAAGTCCTATATGGTTCGCCTCAGGCTGGCCCTTCTTCCAACTCCTCACGCTCCCCTCCTCCTCCTCCTCCTCCTCCTCCTCCTCCTCCTCCTCCTCCCCCCCCTCCTCCTCCTCCTCCTCCCCCTCCTCCTCCTCCCTCCTCCTCCTCCTCCGTCTCTCCTCGTCGCAATCGATGTCCAGCCGCGTGAACACCGCGCTGACGAGAGCGGCACGTATCTGCCCGAGCCCAGCGAGCTTCGGGTTCACCAGGTGCCCCTTGTTCGGGGGCGGCACCACCACGCCCCTCTTGGGTACTCCCGCCTGTGGAAGGCACTGGGAGGCGCACATGGGCCAGAAAACCAATGAGGAGTAATATGCGGGAGAGCAGGTGGAATTCTAGGGTGATGGTGTCGTGGCAAGCAGCACCCAAGCACTGCATTGACGCGGATCGTTGCGCATACGTGCGGGACACGGCACGATCACTGGAACACCTCACCAACGAACGCGCTGCACGGATTCATGACCCAAACGGCCCCATGCGTAACCCCACATCTGGCTTTCGAACCACTTTCGTTTGCGACTCAGCAAAGCGATTTGTGGACACGTAAGCGGACAACACTTGCGGGCCAGACGGGCTACGTCATATGCATTGAGTCTTCCGCACGCTTGGACAATCCCACCTGGACAGCAGGCGCACCATTCGCATGTGTCTATTCATGCATGGAAGACAATGCATGCACATGTGTGCGTGTATGTACGCATGCATGCGTATATATATATATATATATAGATATGTATTTATGTGGATGTATGTATGTTTGCATGTATGTATGTATGTATGTATGTATGTATGTATGTACATTTGTATACATCTACGTACACATGCATGATTTTATTATTGTCTGTATCCATGCACATATATATATAGACTTGCCTGTACGTATCATTGTACATCTGCGTTTGTATGTATACATGTATGTATGAATGTATGTATGTATGCATGTATGTATGCATGTAGGTATGTATGCGTGTGCATATTTCGTGTATATTTGTGCATATTTCCATACACATATAGGTGTATGCACATTTGCCTGCAATTATGTATGAGTTATAAGTGTGTAAGTATGTCTGCATGTATGTATGTTGTGTGTGCGAATGCATATACGCATGTGTGCACGCATGTATGTATGTGTCTATATATGCACGCATGCATGTATGTACGTATGTATGTAACTATGAATGTACGAATGTATATATGTAGGTGCGTGTATGTACAGACACACGTTTATATATGCACAACTCGCCATACGCATCTGTTTACACATACGTGCACATGCATGCACACACATATATATATATATATATATATATATATATATTCATATACCGACACACACATATACATAGTATATACATACTATATATACATGTATATATATGGTGTATATACACATAAACGCCCAGGGTGCCTCGGGCACGAATTGGAGTGCCCTCAGGTCCCTGGAATTCCCCGCCCTCGGTCCTGGCTTAAAGATTGTTGAAGGCCCCGACCTCCGAGTTGCCGCGAGACTTTTTCTGAGACGCAGGGGCGCCAAACTGGGGCAAAGGGCCCCAAGAGGCCCCATAAAACGATCCACGGGGGCTCTTAGTCGCCAGTATGTCGCCCCAGGACGGCCAAACTGGCCTCCAAATGGCCCAATCGGCTCCCCGGGCGTTCCATAAGGGCTCCAAGAGGCCACCCCAAGAGGCCCCTCAGAGGCACATGCAATTGATGTCCCATCGTTTTTTTTTACATTCTGGCGTTTTCGCTTCTGTGTTTAGGTTTCCGACGTGCCAGGACGGCTCAAGAGGCCTCGAATATCGAAAACGACACAGCAGGCCCCACGTAGGAGGGGCCCAAGAAAAGCCCCAGAGCGGGAACGCGAACCGACATTGCGAGCGCTTCGCCCGAAAACGTTCCCCGACACCGCCAGCAGGCTCCCGAGACGCTCCAGGAACTCCAGGACGCTCTTCAAAGGTCCAACACAGACCGCAAGATGCCCCCCAAGAGGTCCCCGAGCGGACCCAAGGACACTTCAAACCCGCTTCCACGGGGCTCCCGACACGCCTCCCAACACGCGTCGTCCATTTCTAATCCTGCTCATTTCGAATTGTGCTCGTTTCTAATTGTTCCTGGCCCCCTAGTGGCCAGGAAGAGGCCCAGGGTAGCAGAATCAGAAGTGAAAAAATCTTGGTCCCCCCAAAATTCAAAGAACTTCCGAATAATTTGGAATGAGCAACGTGTGCACCCCCACAAGCCTCCAAAGCCTCCCCAGAGCCTCCGGCGCTGCCGGAGACTCTGGGAGCGCGTTTGCGGGCCGCCCCCCCCCCCCCCGCCCCCGGCCCGCGGCCCCCGCGCCTGGCGCAGAGGTTGAGGGAGAAGAGGGGGGGGGCAGTCTGTTTGAGCCAGGCGCGGCGCGGCGGGCGTCGTCGTCGTCGTCGTCGTTCGTCAATATATCCCCACGAGCATCCAAAAGGAGGGAGGGAGGGAGGCCCTCTGACCCACGGCCCGGTCGCGGTGCTGGAGCGGGCCGAAGGCCCCTGGATCTGCCGCACCCCGCGGCTTGCCACAGGGGCGCACGGCGGGCCAGGCCTGTGGGCGGTTGCTGCTCTTCCGAGACATCCCACTGGGATCTCGGCCGATCGCGCTGGCCACGCGGATGTGTACACACATACATGTATATATATGTATATATATATATATATATACATATATATATATACATACACATGCATGCATACGTACATACAGACATACACAAACATACATACATACATACATACATACATGCATGCATACATACATACATACATACATGCATGCATGCATACATACATACATACATACACACATGTGTACATCTATATACAGATACACATACCTATTCTCCATCTGTCTCTCCGCCCCACGGGTTCCCGTCAACTTCCCAGGTCGTCGGTCTTTCCGTTCCAGACGGTCCCAAGATGGCCTCCAGATGGTCTCCGAGACGGCTACGATGGCCTCAGGAGAGCCCAGAGTGGCCCCAAACTTGCGCATGTTCGGGTTTCCGACGGCCCATGACGGCTCCGGAGGCCACCGAGATGGCCACAAGAGCGCCCAAGAGGGCTCCGACAACTCAAGAGGCCCCCAAGACGGTTCCAAGAGGGCCCCAATACGGCCGAGCTTACCTCCAAGACGCCCAGGATGGCCTCCAAGACGGCCCTGAAACGCCCCAAGCGGGCCCCAAGTCGGCCCAGAGAGGCCCCTCAAGACGGCTTCCGACGGTGTCAGACGGAGCAGGAACGCCTTCAGACGGCCACATAGCCTCCCAAGGGGCCTCCAAAAGGCCCCAGAAGGCTCAGGGAAGCCCCCAAGAGGCTTCCAAGAGGCCCCCAGGACGCTCCCAGGATGCCCCAAGGGCGCCTCAAGAGGCTCCCAAGAGGCTCCCAAGAGGCTTCCTTCTCCTCCTCCTCCTCCCTCTCCTCCTCCTCCTCCTCCTCCTCTTCTTCTCCTCCTCCTCTTCTCCTCCTCCTCCTCTTCTCCTCCTCCTCCTCCTCCTCCTTTTTCCTTCCTCTCCTCCTCTTCTTCTTTCCCTCCCACGTATTCCCCGAAGGGTTTCCTCAACGGCTGGGGGAACACTTGGGAGCCTGTTGGGGGCATCTAGAGGGGCCTCTTGGGGGCCTCTTGGGGCCTCCTGGGCACCTCTTTGGGCTGTTTCAGGGCACCCTTGGGAGCCTCGGGAGCCACTTTGGAGGACATCGATCAAAGGAGGGGGGCTCCCCAATTAGGCCCACCCCCCTTAGGAGGTAAACATGTGGTCAAAACCGAAGTAACACCAATGTGTGTGTTGGCTTCCTCACCGAGGCCATCTTGGACGCTCCAACGACCCGCAGAACGCTCCCTCCAGACCCATGGGGGGGGTGGGGAGAGGGGTAAAACCTTCCCAGAAGGGGAAGAGAGACGAGGAACATAGGGTCCGATAGATTGGTCGAACTCTGGCCGCAGCGTTCGGCCACGTAGGCGCATTCAAAATGAAGGGGGCGGCGGTGCTTCGCCGTAGGCGTTTTCGGTCCGCAGCCCCCTGCGGCTTGCCACAAGGGTGCACGGCGTGCCAGACTTGCAAGAGGCCCCCCAGACGGCCCAAGTGGGCCCCAACACAGCCCAATGTGCCCCCACAACGATCCCGGCCAAACCCCAAGACGGCCCTACAACTCTGCAAGACTACCGTGGACCGCCCCAAAAAGGGCCGCACGACGGCCCAGAAGGGCTCCCCACCTCATATGGCCAAGAGTCTCCCAAGGGGGCCCCAAGAGGCTCCCACGACGGCCTCAAGAGACCCCCAAAGGCTTGCAGAACTCCCCAAGAAGCCTCCAGGAGGCCCCCGAAGGCCTCTTTGTCCTCCTCCTCCTCATCATCATTACCATCATCATTACCCTCCTCCTCCTCCTCGTCCTCCGTCTTCTTCCCACATGGGTTCCCCCAAGGGTTTCCACCACGGCTGGGGGAACACGTAGCCCAGTAGCTCGACAGGACTTTCGGCCCTACGTTCAGACATACAAGCGCTTCCAAAAACGCACGGAGCGGCGGTGATTCGCCGTCTGCGACGTAGATGTTATCACACATTTGATAGGACGCAATGCTGGGGCCGAACATGGGCTGGGCGCTGTCACTGGGGCTGAACCAGCCGGCTACACGCAAGAAGGCCCCTGGGCAAACACGGCCTTTCGTGCGCGGCTAATGAAGGGTCCCTCGGGGACACCACCAAGCGCCCAAGCCGCTACAACCGCATCTCCATCAACGATCGGTGGGCCCCGTCGGGCCCGCGCCAAAGGTCACTCTGGCGAAAGGTAGGTCCCTCTTACGCGCAGCCGAAGCCGAGGCAGGAACCGAACCTGGACTGAAGCCAGGCGGTCGCTCGGCCGGAACTGGAGCTGGCCAGGGACCTGGAGCTCGAGCGAAGCTGGAGCAGGAGCGGGGGGGCAAGGGGCAGGTGGGCCGCCCCCTGCCCCCCGTGTCTCCCCTCGAACCGCGCACCCCATGCCGCTACGCAGCTGTGTGCGCCTCGTCAAACGACAGCGCAGCGAAAACTGCACCCAAGCACCAGCAGCGAGCACCAGGATCGCGCCGCGTCGCCGATGCATCGGCGATGCATCAGTGATGCGCCGGCGACGTCGGCACTGCATCGGCGACGCCAGCGCGGAGAAGACGGGCTCCACAACGACCCGCATCGGCGATGCTTCGGCGATGCGGCGCGACCCTCCGACCCCACCTGCTCGGACGCCATCTGGGAGGCCTGGACTCTCCCGGGGTGCATTCTGACCGGAACTTCAAGGAGCTCTCCACTGTGCGAATCAAAACGTCCCCTCGGACTGCTTGTCCGCCGCTCCGGGCGTCCTGCGTCGGCCCCCAGACATGTCCTGGAACGCGCCCCAGCCGGGACGTCGAGGCGGATCTTGCCGTGTGGCGAAGGCCCTCCAGAAGGCCCAGAAATTGCGGTCCCTCCCTCCCTGTTCCTGTTCCTGTTCCTGTTCCTGTTCCTGTTCCTGTTCCTGTTCCTCCTCCTCCTCCTCCTCCTCCTCCTCTTCCTAGTCCTCATCCCTGTCCCTCCTCCTCCTCTTCCTCCTCCTCTTCCCCCTCCTCCTCCTCCTCCTCCTCCTCCTCCTCCTCCTCCTCCTCCTCCTCCTCCTCCTCCTCCTCCTCCCTCTCCTCCTCCTCCTCCTACTCCTCCTCCCTCCTCCTCCTCCTCCTCCTCCTCCTCCTCCTCCTCCTCCTCCTCCTCCTCCATCTTCCATCCTCCATATCCGCATTCTCCTCCTCCTCCTCCTCCTCCTCCTCCTCCTCCTCCTCTTGCGCCCTGTCGGGCCGCCTTGCCGCCGCTCTGGATGTGCTTCGCCAGCGACGCCAACACCGTCTGGACCGTCTGCACCGAAACGGGCTTCGGCGGGCCCGGGGGCGGCTCCTGCGGGGGCGGCCAAGGGCGATGGCGAGATCTGGCGGCCTCCTCCTCCTCCTCCTCCTCTTCCTCCTCCGTCGTCCTCCTCCTCTCACCTCCTCCCTCCTCCTGGCCCTCCCTCCCTCCTGCCTCCTCCTCTCTCTTCCTCCTCCTCCCGCGCTTACTCCTCCACCTCTTTCAACTTCTTGTTCTTCTTCCGCTTCCTCCTCCTCCCGCCTTTTCTTCTTCCGCCGCCTCGTCCTTTTACTACTCCTCCTACCTCCTCTTCCCGCTGAAGGAAGTTTGTAATGCAAACTTCCTTCACCTGTTTTTCCTTCCCCCCACACCTCCACAACTTCCACCCTCCCCCTTCCCCCGTTTCCACCTCCATCCTCGTGTTCTCCACCTGGACTCTTTCCCGCCCTTTCCAGCTCCACCTCCATCTCCGCGTCCTCCTCCTCTCCCGAAGCAGACCCGCTGCGTGCCCAGGCATTTGCTGTTGTGTTGTTTCTTATTCTTCTTCTGATTACTATTATTATTATTATTATTATTATTATTATTATTATTGCTATTATTGTGGCTATTATTATGATTGCTGTTTTTTTCTGTTTCTCCCAAGGGATCGGGCGACCGCGTGCGCTGCACACACAGGCGGCCGCAGCCCGCGCGCTCTGCGCGCGGGCAGGGCGCGCTCCTGATTCCGAGGGGCCTTGTGCGGGCCACCTCGGGGTGGGCGGGCGGTGCGGCCAACTGCTCGGAGCAGGTCGATGCCTGACTTGCGAGGCGGGGATTTAGCCACATCCACCCGCCGGGGAATCGACGTCCTGGTGCCCCAGCGGGCGGTGGGTGTGGATATCTATTTCGGCCCCCGGGGACCCGAATATGTCCATATCCACCGCCTGCCGAGGCTCCGAAAACTGACCCTCCAGGCGGTGGATATGGATAAATTCACGCCTCAGAATGACTTCCGCATGTGCCACACCCCAGGCCCACAAGAGCGCGCGGCGAACGCTGTCCGTGTGCCGTTGCGCATCTCGGGCCGCGGGCCGACGTATGAGCGCATGCCCTTTTTTTGAAAAAAAAAAGGGAACGTCGGTGAACCCATTCGGGCGCATGGCGCGCACGCGGTCCACGATGGTTCAATGCTTTGCATCGTGGGGCACTGTGCCGTGCGACAATTGCAAATGCTTGCAATAAGCGTTGCATGAACAGCATTGAAACGAAGCCGGCCCTTCCCCTTGTCGCTGTAAGCTCCGCGGCTTTTCGGGACCGCGGGATGGTACGCACCTGCGCCATGTGGACAAACATACGTGGTGCAGCCTATGTGGTGCAACATCTGTTGGACAACCTGTGCGAGGCAATCTACGTGGTGCAACATGTGTGGTGCAATCTATGCGGCGAATGCTACGTTGTGCACTCTGTGCTTGGCAATGTATGAGGTGCAACGTGCAGCATCTGCGGTGCAATCCATGTGGTCCAACCTCTGTGGTGCAATCCTTGCTGGACGAATCACCGCGCTCTGCGTGGGGGCAATCTATGTGGTGCAAGCTTTGTGGAGCAGTCTGTGTGGAACCGCACATGCGGTGCAGTGTATGTGAGCGGCGACGGGGTGGCGACGGCGAAGCGGCGGCGGCGAGCACGGACCTGCCACACCACCCGCCGGGCCCAAGCGACGGGCGGCGACGAGGCGGCGACGGGGCGGCAACGGCGAGCACGGAGCCGCCAGGCAAGGAGGAGGAGGAGGAGGAGGAGGAGGAGGAGGAGGAGGAGGAGGAGGGAGGAGAAGGAGGGAGGAGGAGGAGGAGGAGGAGATGGAGAAAGCCTACGTGCACGCACCGTTTGGGGAACACGTGAACGTAAGAACGCGGCGGGATGTCATGGCCGAACTTCTGTCACGGTCGAGCCCCTGCCTCTCCGACGTCTGAGCCTCTCTGGCCATCGCTCGGGCGTCCGTTCCCTGTGTTTTTTGTTCGGTTTCGTGCGTGGTCTTTTCGCCAAATGACCAAGGATGCTCCTCGATGGTCCTCGCCGAAGGAAAAATGCAGACGTCCGAGCGATGCCAAGCTCTGGCCCTCCGCCTTCTGAGCCTCTCTGGCTCTCCGCTGTGTGAGCCCCTGCCCCCCCCCCCCCCGTCTGAGCCTCTGGCTCCCCGCCGTCTGAACCCTTGGCCCCCCGCGTCTGAACCGCTGGCCCTCCGCCGTTTGAGCCTCATGCCTCCCCCCAATCTGGGCCACTGGCTCTCCGCCGTTTGAGCCTCTGCCCCCCCCCGTCTGAACCACTGCTTCTCCGCCGTTTGAGCCTCTGGGGCCCCTCCCGCCTGAGCCTCTGGCGATCCGCTTTTGGCCTTTGCCCCCCCAGCCGTTATCCTTATCTCCGTCCTCATCCGCAGAGACAGAGACAGAGATAGGCTGCGACAGACAGACAGACAAGCTGGAATAGCATGGCGAGATGTCTTGCTATTTTCATATGTTATATGATCTTCTTACCATCATTCTACGAATGTATTGGTATTTCCATACGCGCCATACGTCAACTCATATGTTTCCAAACGATCGGTCGCGCCTGACTTACGTAGCACTCGCGCACCTTTTCTTTCGCGGAAAGCATCTGGGTGCATAGAACCTGTAGGCAATCAATCAGCTACGTCCGACTTACGATGTAATCACATGGCAATGTATGGAGATGTCTGGGCTATTATTGTTGTGCGTCGAGTCATGTTGCATCTGTAGCGGTATCGGTTTCGCGAAGCCGAAAGGTTTTTCTTGACAGCATGACGAGGAGCATTGTCCTGTCTGTGCGCGCCATGCATATGTATCAAGTGCTGGTATGGTTACGAGACTCCATACATTTCACAGACTTCCAAAACATATCGGCCGTGCCCGACAGACACCACCCCCATCATACGTTAGCTCTGTTGGTCAATGCACAGAGCTGAAAGCCAACACTGTTACTATGTGTCTCTGGCGGGCTTTTACGCATGTGTGGCCGTATCAAGGTAGCAGGGCTTTCTTGATTCCCATAAAACTCCAATGTGATCACTTCACGCGGGCGCAATCTTGACCAGGAGCTATCCGACTGCAAGCTGGAAACCGCTGGCAACGCCACGGCCTGCATCGGGTCTGCCGCCCCTCCTTCTTCTTCTGTTTTCTTTCACTTTTTCGTCTTATCCCTTTCCTCTTTGTTCTTCTCATTATTCACCTCCCCCTCCTCGTCTGCTCCTCCTGCTCCTCCTCCCTCCTCTTCCTCAGTCCTCCTCCTTCTCCTCCTCCTCCTCCTCCTCCTCTTCTTCTTCTTCTTCTTCTTCTCATTCTTCTTCTTCTTCTTCTCCTTTCTCCTCCTCCTCCTCCTTCTTCTTCTTTCCCCTCCTCCTCCTCTCACCTCCTCCCTCTTCTTCGTCTGCTTCCTCCTCCTCCCCCCCACCACCTCCTCCTCCTCCTCCTCCTCCTGTTCATCCTCGCCCTTGACCTAGTCCTCCTCCCCCCTCCCGTTGAAGGCAACCTGTAACTACGAGGCTTGAGGCGGTCCTTCTGGGGTCCTCCTCTCTCCTTCACCTACCTCTCCTCCACTTCCCCTCCCCTTCCACCTCCTCAACTTCCCTCCTCCCCCCCCCTTCCCCGCGTCCACCTCCATCTTCGTGTCCTCCACCTAACCTCCCTCCCTCCCTCTCCACCCGCACGTCTGCCTCAGTGGCCTCCTCCTCGAACACCGTCGATTTGTACTTATTTTGAATACAAATATTCTTCTTCTTCTTCTTCTTTCTTCTTCTTCTTCTTCTTCCTCCTCCTCCTCCTCCTCCTCCTCCTCCGCCCCGTCGTCTTCGTGTTCCTCTCTTTCTCCTCTTCCTCCCTCCTCTCCTCCTCCTCCTCCTCCTCCACTTCCCTCCTCCTCCCTCCTCTTCCTCCTCCTCCTCCTCCTCCTCCCTCTTCTTCTTCTTCGTCTCATTACGTCTCCTCCTCCTCCTCACCTTTCCCCTTCTCTTCCTCCTCCTCTTCCTCCTCCTCCTCTTCCTTGTTTCCGCTGGGGGAAGCTTTTACAAGTTCTAGGGGATTGGTCGGGGGTCCTCTTCCCTCCGCCACATCCGTCTCCTCCACCTCTCTATTCCATCTCGTCAACTTCCCTCTTCCCCCTCCCCTCCCCCTCCCCCTTCCAAACATCCACCTCCATTTTCTTGACCTTCACCTAACCTCCCTTTCTCCATCTCCACCCCCATCTCCATGTCCTTCTCCTCCTCCTCCTCCTCCTCCTCCTCCTCCTCTTCCTCCTATAAGTCCACCTCCTTCTTCTTCTTCGTCTGCTTCTCCTCCTCTTTCTCTTCCTTTTCCTTTTCCTCCTACTCCCCCTGCTGCTCCTCCTCCTCCTCCTGCTCCTTCTCCTGCTCCTCCTCCCTCCGTCACATCTGCCTTCACCTCCGCATACTTCTTTACAACCCTGCCTCATGTAGTCCTCCCCCCTCCTCCCCCTCCTCCCTCGGTGCGAGGGACGGGAAGGGAGAAGGAAGGGGGGGGGCCGCAAATCTTAGTCTCATGCGGGTTTTGGCTGCCCTGGCTCCTTCGGCGGCACCATGTTCGGGGGCGTCGGTCCCTGCGGCGCTTCGGGAGTCTTCCGCAGCGCGAAAGGAAGAGGCCTCCTCCTCGTCATCACTCAAGAGTCATGATGCTACCATCGTGCTTAAGGGCCACATCGCAAACATAATTTCGAGCATCCAGCGGAGTATCGAAACAGCGCCTGGCCGAAAGACTGGCGAAGTGTCGAACGAGTATCGCCTCTCAGGGCCCGGCACGCGAACATTTTCCTAAGGGTGTCGCCCTTCAGGGCCTTCCAATGTCGGTGCTTTCTTGGTGATCAAGGATACAGTCGGTTGGGACATCATAGCCTGAGAAGGAGAAGGGCGGAGGAAAGGATGGGGGAGGAAGACAAACAGGTCTTCTAGATTTGAAGCCGGCCCGTGGGAGTAGGCCCCAGACGAACTCGCCTGGCGTCGGCCCACGAACGCCGCAGCAACTCGCCCGACCTTTCAGCTTGTCCAGCATCGTCAACACAACAAGCAACGCCCGAAATATAAACTTTTCGGAGGTCCACGCGGACTTCTTGGATCGGCGCCCGGCTTTTCTTCCCGGAGCGCGCCAGGGGCGTCGCCAGAGGCACCGCCGGGGGGTTCCAGCGCCGATCCTAAGAAGTCCCGGCGGACCTCCACAGTTCAATGTTTGTGCATTTTTCGGCGGCGAGCCCAGGGGGGAAGCCAGAAGGGGCGGGCCTGCTCAGAAGGCGCGGAAGGCCTCTGGCGTTCTGAAGCATTTTCTGAGCTTCCCCGAAGACAGGGATGCCCTCTTGAAGGGCCAGAGGGCTTCCGAGAAGCCCCGCCACCTCCCGAGAAGGCGTGCCTCCTCTCACATCCACCCCGCGCGCGCCGCCGAATTCCTGTTCCTTCTGCGAATCGTGCCTCGTTGGTTGTGAGAACAGCGTCCGGGTCTACAGTTGGGGACTTCTGCACAGCGTGTCGCGGCGGCCCCAGCGACGCGCTGTGCCAATCGTGCGAATCGCGTGTCGCTCCGCTCCGCGGGGCGGGAGGCTTGGAAAGGCTCAGGACGTTAACTCCTTGGGACCGGGATGTGGATTGAAAGAAAAAGACATACACGTAAACTTTTGGCGCTCCGCGGGGATACGGAAAGAGCGAGGTACGAGTGATGACGTTCTGGTGTGGGCGAAACCCGAAAGGGAGGGGTTCCAGGGGAGGGAGGTAGGCCGGGGGAATGAATGTCAATGGCCGTTTTCGGGTTCTCCCTCGGGTTAATGGAAAGAGCGAGGTACGAGTGATGACGGTCTGGTGTGGGCGAAGCCCTAAAGGGAAGGGTTCCAGGGGAAGGGGGTAGGGCGGGGGAATGAATGTTAATAGCCGTTTTAGGGTTTTCCCTCGGGTTTTTGAATGATTTTCGGGTTCTCCCCTTTTCCGTCCCAGGAGAGCCCAAGACCACCCAAGACAGCCCCAAGACGTCCCAAGAGGCCTCCCAGACGCCCCGAGAGGCGTCCAAGATGCGCCCCAACAGGCCCCCAAGAGGCCAAAATCATCGATTCCCATAGGAAAACATTTTTTTTAGCAGATACGGCTTTTCGGCTTTCACGGCGTTGACGACGGCCCAAGAAGCCCCCAAGACCGCCCCACGACGGCCCAAGAGGCTCCCAAGAGACCCCCAAAACGGCCCAAGAGGGCCCCAAGACGGCCCAAGAAACGCCCAAGACGGCCGACGGCCCCAAGAGGGGGACCACGAACCGAAAAGTCTAGCCTTTCGCCCCAAGATGCTCCCAGGAGGCCCCAAGAGCCCCCCAAGAAGCCCCAAGAGGCCCCCAAGAGGCGTCCCACGAGGCCACCAAGAGGCCGAAAACATAGATTTCTTATGGCAAAAGGTACGTTTTTAGCATACACGGCTTTTGGGCTTTCACTGCGTTGATGACGCTCCACGAGGCCCCCAAGACCGCCCCAAGACGGCCCAAGAGGCTCCCAAGAGGCCCCCCAAACGGCCCAAGAGGGCCCCAAAACGGCCCAAGAGGGCCCCAAGACGGCCCCAAGAGGGGGACCACGAACCGAAAAGTCCAGCCTTTCGCCCAAAGAAGCTCCCAGGAGGCCCCCAGAGCCCCCCAAGAAGCCCTAAGAGGCCCCCAAGAGGTCCCCAAGAGGCCTCCAAATGGGCTCCAAAAGGGCCGCAATAGGACTCCCAAGAAGGCCCAGAGACGCCAAACAGAGAGACATCGGTAACGCAAGAAGCTCGCCACACCAAGGCTCCCAAGAGCGAACGGTGACGTAAACAAGCTGATAAGACCAAGGCTCCCAGCAGAGAGCGGTGACGTAACAAGTTCCTCACACCAAGGCCCAGCCAAGGCTCAGGAACGGGCGGCAACGCAAGAATCTCTGAACACCAAGGCTCCCAAGAGCGAGGGGTGACGTAACAAGCTCTCAACGCCAAGGCTCCCGGTACGAACGGTGGTGTGAGTAATTTCGGCTTCTGTTTCTGAAGCGCTCTTTCCGTTTCTGTGCCGGGCCAGGTTTCTTGGACTCGCGCTGGGCCCCCCCGGCGGCGCCTCCGGCGCCGCCCCTGGCGCGCGTAGCGCGCCAGGGAGGGGGAGTCCAGCGCGAATCCAAGAAATCCCTGCGGAGCGCCAAAAGTTTCTGTTTGTGCCGCCTGTCCTTCTTCGAGGGATGTGGGATAGCGTGTGGCGCCGAAGTGTGGGCCAGAGCTGGCGGAGCGACACGCCACCCCAAAGCTCGCGCCCATACGCAATGGCCCCTGACCATGGCCCCTTGTCTCCCTCCTCCTCCTCCTCCTCCTCGTCCTCCTCCTCCTCGTCCTCCTCCTCCTCCTCCTCCTCCTCCTCCAACTCCTCCTCCTCCTCCTCCTCCTCCTCCTCCTCCTCCTCCTCCTCCTCCTCTTCCTCTTCCTCCTTCCCCTCTACTCCTCCCTCCTCCCTCCTCCTCCTCCTCCTCCTCCTCTCCTCTCCTCCTCTCTCCTCCTCTCTCTCCTCCTCCTCCAACTCCTCCTTCCTCCTCCTCCTCCTCCTCCCTCCTCCTCTCCTCCTCCTCCTCTCTCCTCCTCCTCCTCCTCTCCTCCTTCCTCCTCCTCCTCCTCCTCCTCCGCCCCTCCTCCTCTCCTCTCCTCCTCCCCTCCTCCTCCTCTCCCCTCTCTCTCTCTCATCCTCCTCCTCCTCCTCCCCCTCCTCCTCCTCCTCCTCCTCCTCCTCCTCCTCCTCCTCCATCCCTCTTCCTTACAAGTGTCGCACCCGGTGACAGGTCGGTAAGGTTGACAGGGCGTTTCGCCGGAGACTTCCTCACCATGTGTGATTTCGAGGCTGAAGCTTTGCAGCAGTTTCACGGATGGAGGGCGGGTAGTTTTTTTTTAACGTTTGGCTCTCGCCTTAGCGCAGCGAGCAGTCGGCTTAAAAGTTTGCAAAAGGTTCACGGATGGAGGGCGGGTCACTTTCAACACGTGGCTCTCGCCTTAGCGCCGCACGCATTGGTCTATAAAGCTTGAAAGAAATTCGCAGATGTAGGGATGTTAGTTTTCAGCATGTGGTTCTTGCAGTAGCGCCGCGCACCTTCGTCTTAACAATTTACAACACAGTTAAATATAATTATGGGTGACGTCCCGGAGCTGGGATTTTGATGTGTTCTAGGATTGTCAGGGCGCGACAAACACGTTCCTTTGCGGTGTTGCAGTCCCAGGAGTGGTGTTCTTGCGCGCATCAGGACCGTCAGGACGCAGCAGTAACGCCGATTCGCGGCGTTGAAGTCCCAGGAATGGCGCTTTGGCACAGTTAAGGATTTTCAGACGGCTGTCTTCCAACGGGGCACCTCCCGCAGTGAACATAAGCATGTGTATGGACCTGTGAAGAGGCAACTTGGGGGGAGGGTGATTGCATCATCGTTGACGAGTCTTGGGTTTGCACTGGTTCGGGGGCGCGCAAGCATGGATTAGCGATCCATGGATTTGGCGCGCGGTCGCCAACTCCGTGGTACGGGGGATCCATGGATTTGGCGCGCGGTCGCCAAATCCATGGAACGGGGGAGGTGCCCTCCCCAAAATGCGACCCGTGCCGCCTCGCTCGGCGGCGGAAGTCCGTCGCTAATCCACGCCCCCTTGATCCATGCCTGCGATCGCCTGAATCGTTGACGAGACGCGGGTTTGCACTGGTCCTCCTCCTCCTCCTCCTCCTCCTCCTCCTCCGCCTCCTCCTCTGAGCGCCTTCCCCCTCCACGAGTGCATATTCCCTCGGCGCCCACGCGACAGTGCGGGAGCGCGGGGGGGAGGGGACCACGAGCCCAGCCCCGTCCGCTGACCGCCTGTCCCGGGCAGAGGCTCGCCGCCCTGGCACCCTCTGCCCCCGAGCACGGTGCAGAACCGGCGATCTCTCTTTCCCGGCAGGGCTCCGTGCACGCTGCTGCTCGTCATTTCCCTCGCTCGCTCCCTGCGCCTTGGTACACGTTGTTCATGTCTAATCGTGCTCGTTGCTAAGTGTTCTCGTTTCTAATTGTTCCTGGCCCCCCAGCGGCCAGGAAGAGGACCGGGATAGAACAACGAGAATTCGAAAGGATCTTGCCCCCCCCCCCCCAGAGATCAAAGAATGCTCGAACGCTTAGAGATGAACGAGGTGTATCCCTCGATCTCCTGGCATCTCCAGCGAAACGCGCTGCTGGCAGCCCGTGGCGGGCTCCACGCCCGTGGCCCGCCCGTCGCGGCGGCCTGCCCGCCAGGGCCCGCGCGCAGATCCCGGTGGGCTCCCGCGCGGACCCCCGGGCCCAGCCCTGCGCCACGAGCGTCGCAGCAAGACACACGCTGTTTTCCCCAACCAGCCTGTGTTGCTGGGTCCTCGTTTTGAGACGGTCCCCGCGTTCCTCCTCCTCCTCCTCCTCCTCCTCCTCCTCCTCCTCCTCCTCCTCCTCCTCCTCCTCCTCCTCCTCCTCCTCCTCCTCCTCCTCCTCCTCCTCCTCCCCCTCCTCCCTCCTCCTCCCTCCTCCCCCTCTTCCCTGCGTTTCAGGACACACTGCTTTTTTTGTTGGTCTGCGGGGCGAGAGGGAACCTCTTCCGCTAGAAGCTGGGCGGGCTACGCGCAGCTCTGATTCGGGAGACGGGGCACGGAAAAGGCGGGGCCTGCAGGCGGGCGGAGAGTGGGCGAAGCCCGGGGTGGCAGGCGCGGTGCCGAGGTGGACGTGCAGGAGCGGCGAAGCAGGACACACTGCTGCACGGGCGAGAGGATCGGCGCCAGACTCGGGGGAGGAGCGAGATGGGGGCAGGCCTGCTCAGCAGGCGGCGGGGCCTCGGAGGAGGAGGAGGAGGAGGAGGAGGAGGAGGAGGATGGGGGCTTCCGGGGGGGGGGGGGGGGCCATCGCGCGCTCGCGAGCACTCTCTTCCCGTGCCTCCTCGGGGAGGGCTCGGAGCACCTCTCTCGGCCCTCCGAGCCTCCCCGAGGAGGGCATGCCCCCTCGGCATTCCGCCCTGGGCTCGCCGACGAGGGAGTTCATTGGCGGCTGGATGAGCTCGCCATCGCTCGGACGTCCCTTCCCTGTGTTTTTTTTTCGGTTTCGTGCGTGATTTTCTCGCCGAATGATCAAGGATGCTCCTCGATGGTCCTCGCCGGAGGAAACATGCACAGGTCCGAGCGCTGCCAAGCGAATGAGAGGACACAGCAGCTGCAGAAACAGCAGCTGCGGACACAACAGCTGCTGTACCCTCTCCCTGGCGCGCGGAGCGCGCCAAGGGCGGCGCCGAAGGCGCCGCTAAGGGGGTTCCAACGCAGATCCAAGAAATCCGTGCAGGCCTCCGAAAATTCATGTTTTTGTGCAGTCTGCTCTGCTTCTATCATCAGAACAATTAGAATGCTCATGCCCGTCAATGGCTTCGCCCTGGTCCTTTTCTAATAGTAGCCCCCGTGAAAGAGCTCAGGCAGCCAACATCGGTACACGATGGACCCTCCATGGGCAGAGGTCTACCAGGAGACCTGAGGGAGGATGGACCATGTAAGAGGGAGGGATGAGGAACATAACAGGGAGAAGAGACCATGTAAGAAGGAAGGATGACGGAAGAGGGAAGGTGCAGGAAGGATGTAGGAATGGAAGGGAGAGGGGTATGCAATGGGGATGGAGGAAGGAGGGACGAACGATGTATCATCCTCCTTACTGTCCTCCGCCTCGTCCCTCACGCTCTGGTGGGCTTAAGCCCGTGCAAGCGTACAACACGGTACGCGGCGTCACGCATAAAGCAACCCCATCCCCACCTCCTCATCCATCACCTCTTCGTCCCCCCGCATCACCACCACATTCGGACTCACATCCCCTTCCTGCCCCGTCTGCCTCCCGCTGGGTCTGGCATCCGATGCAGCCAGCGCTCGGCGCAGCTTGGCTGGCTCTGGGCAGGGCCAGTCCCGTACGCCCCCCCAGTTTGCCGACACCTGCCGCGCGGGACCCCGAACCGAGCGGACGGGTGCTGCACCTTGCATGCGAAAAGAGGCGGCGGCCCATCGCCGCGCAGGTGCCCGAAGCGTGGCCCCAGCCCCCCACGCGCACGCCGTCGCAGGAGCGAGGGCAGGCCGAGCGTCCTCAGGGGGGGAGCCAGCGCCCGCCGCCCGATGCGACGTCCTCTTCCTCTTCCTTCCTCCCTCCCTTCCTCTTCCTCCCTCCTTCCCTCCTCTTCCTCCCTCCTTCCCTCCTCGCTTCGACGTCCTCTTCCTCCCTCCTCCCTCCTCCTCCTTCCTCTTCTCCCCCCATCCCATCCTTCTCGCTCGAGAGCTCCCGCGCGCGCGGGCCATGAGGACGAGGAAGCACGCGAAGCACTGGAGAGGCGGGGGATCGGGAGATCGTGGCGGAAGAGGGGGGGGGGGTGACAACGGGGACGACGAGGGGGAGGATCAAGAGGAGGTGCAGGATAGGGGGAGGTGGAGAGGGGGGGGAGGAGGATGGTCAGCACCGAGGGCGCGCGAGGGGGAAGACGCCGCCGTCGTCGACGACGTCGTCGTCGCAGGGCGGGGTCGGGCCTTGGGCCTGTCCCTGTCGCGCTCGTCGGGCCTGGCCCTGCGCCCGCCTCCTCTGGGCCTGCCGCCGAGTCGCGGGGGTAGGGGGGGGGGGATGCGCGCTCTGGTGCTCCCGCAAGGCTGCCGCTCCCCCCGACGACGAGCAGCCAGGGCGCGGGGAGCGAGGAGGGAGGAGCGGGGGGAGGAGGAGAAGGAGCGAGGAGGAGGAGGAGGAGGAGGAGGAGGAGGAGGAGGAGGAGGAGGAGGAGGAGAGGAGGAGGAGGAGGGGGAGGGGGAGGGGGAGGGGGAGGGGGAGGAGGAGGAGGAGGAGGAGGAGGAGAAGGCGGAGGATGAGGATGAGGAGTCGGAGGGGGACCAGCGTAAACCCAGGAGTCCTCAACGATGTTGGAATAAACTCTCCCTCCAAGCTCCCTCTTCACAAACGCCCTACAACGGTTCATTACCATTGAAAGAACTGGCTCTTTGGAAGACAACCGTTTGCAGACCCTGAAGCATGCCAAAATATCGTTCTCGGGATTCCAACACCACGGATCAACCTGAGTGTTGCGTCTTGACAATCCTGAACCGTGAGGGGACGACATTTCCTGGGACTTCAGCACAACGAATCAACATAACTGTTGCACCCGCATAATCCCGAACCCTTTCAAAGCACGATTTCTGGCACGTTGGTGATGGGAATCCGTGAAACTCTTGCACATGTTGTCAGCGAACGTGCGCGGCGCTAAAACGAGCACACCACGTTGAAAACTACTCACCCTGAATCCGTGAATCTCTTGCAACTCATAAAAACGATTGTGCGCCGCACTAAAGCGAGAACCACATTGTGGAAACGACCCGTCCTTACTCCGTGAAGCTCTTGCAATTTTTTAAATTGAATGTGCGCCGCGCTAGGGCGAGACCCACATTTTGAAAACGACCCGCCCTCCATCTGTGAAGCGGTTGCCAATTTCTAAGCTTCAGAATCATAAATGGTGAGGAAGTCTCAGGCGAAACGCCCGGGCCGCCCTAAAAACTGGCCTCGGGGTGCGACAGGGAGAAACTATTTATAAGGAAAACGAATGGAGGAGGAGGAGACATGAACATGGAAGCGTGAGCGGTGAATCGGTGGCGAGTGAGGGGGGAAGTGAGAAGGACAAGGCCTTCTCAGAAAGCGGCGGGGCTTCTCAGAAGGCCTACGGCCCTCTGAGAAGTTTCCTGTGTCTGCGGAGGAGGCTCAGGACGCTTCTCCGAAGGCTGGGGGACTTTCGAGCCTTCGGAAGAGGCTTTCTCCTTTTCGCTTTCCCCTGGGCGCGCCGCCGCGTGGAAGAGGTGATGATGGTGATGGGGGTATGGGTGATGAGGCAGGTGTGAATGATGCTGATGGTGACGGTGATCCTGGTGATGGTGAAGAAGGAAGTGATGATGATTCTGAAGATGAATATGAAGATGATGGTGCGGATGATGATGGCAGTGATGCTGTTGCCGCTGATGGCGATTGTCGATACTGATTCTGGTGATGGTGCTGATGACGGTGATAATGATTATGATGCTGATGCTGCTGCTCATGATGATGTTGATGCGGATGCTGACGATGACGATCATGCTGCTGATGATGGTGATGATGGTGCTGATGATGATGATGATGATGATGATGATGATGATGATGATGATGATGATGATGATGATGATGATGATGATGATGATGATGATGATGCCCGCTCTGCCAACGCCGACGTTCTGTCGAACCTGCGCCACCGAGCTCTCGCTGTGTGGCCCTGCCGCGGGCCCGCCGCAGCCCTGCCGGCGGCACAGGCGTGGCGGACACCGCCCCGCCGGCAAACGCGACGAAGCCCAGGCAGGGCAGCGCCACGCCCGCCCTCGCCACGAGCAGCACGCTCCAAGACCAGGAGGAGGAGGAGGAGGAGGAGGAGGAGGAGGAGGAGGAGGAGGAGGAGGAGGAGGAGAAGGAGGAGGAGGAGGAGGAGGAGCAGCGCGATGGCTTCAGCCTCCGGCGCCGCTGTCGCATCACAGCGCTGCGCCGCGCTCCCTTCACTGCGGCCAGCTCGGCGACCATCGTCAGAGCCCCGAATCATCGGGGGTAACTCGGGTCAGGGCCAACTCGGGTTCGTTTCGGGGAATCCGAGCCCGAGTTATCCCGGACCCGAGTTGCCCCGGATATTTCGGGCGTCCAGAGCCCCGAATCATCAGGGTTAACTCGGGTTCGTTTTTCGGGAACCCAAGCCCGAGTTACCCCGGATAACTCGGGCGCCTAACATCATGCCAGAGGAGGGTGTCCGACTGCTGGTGGTCTTGTCCCGGATACCGGTGCCGGCCGCCCCCGTTGCGGCCGCGTGCGCGTGCACCTTCGGGGCCGCATGCGGGCTGCGGATCGTGACGTCCCACCACCATGCATGTGTGGCCATTGGCGCCCTGACGGCAACATCAAGAATGGCCTCGTCCTTGGGCATAGCCCTCTCTGCTTCCTCGGCACTGCTGGGTTGGTACAGCTCGGGCACGTGCCGCTCCTTGTCGGCGTCGGCGCCTGCTTGGCGGGCGAGCTGCGTCAGCTCGGTGAGCAGGGCGCCATGATGCCTCCGGCGCGCCGGCTCCTTCTTGCAAGTGGTCACGCGGCCCGCTGTGCTGTTCACACCGCGCTCCGCAACGCTCAATGCGTCGCCGCACGCGTGTCCTTTGGCTTTGGTGATGGGGCAAGTCGCCCTGGCTGGGACCATGAGCTGGGCGAGACGTGCCTGGGTGGCAGCCACTATCTGCGCATGTACGATGAACTCGTCCTCCCCCCAGGCGATGGCGGTCCACGAGGTGCCCACACCTGGGCTTCCAGTTGCCAGCATGACGCGCTGCTGATCGTTGTTGCTGCCAGCCCAGACCCTGGTGGCCTGCAGTGCCTCGAGGTGGCGCAGACGGGTGCTGAGGATTCTCTTGCCGCGACTGCTCCAGAGCTGGCCCTGGTACTGCTCCTCCTCAAAGTGGCGGGCGCCCTGGGTGGAGCGCCCCCTGGCGTGTCCACCGCCCAAAGGGCCCACCTCGTACTCCTCCCGCAGCGGCCAGGAGCAATGGATGGTGCTGCCGTGGAGGCTGTCGATGCTGGCGCTTGCGAGGACCTGCTCAGCATCCTCCGCCGGGGTGCGAAGATGCCCCGTGTCAGCCAGGCGTCGAAGCCGAGAGGCCAGCAGGTCAGTGCGCCGACCCACCGACTGCGCTGCGGCCCATGCCACCGCTGCGACTGCGCCCTCGGTGTTGCTTCCCCGCACTCCGAGTCCCCCCGTGCTGACCGTCGGGGGGGGGGCCGAGGGGCCTCCTCTCCCCGGCCCTGGGGACCCGAGGAGGAGAAGGAGGAGGAGGAGGAGGAGGAGGAGGAGGAGGAGGAGGAGGGGGAGGAGGAGGAGGAGGAGGAAGAGGAGGAGGAGGAGGAGGAGGAGGAGGAGGACGGAGGATGACGGAGGAGGACGGAGGAGGAGAAGGAGGCGTCGGGGCAGCAGTCGAGTGGCAGCGACTTGGCGGCCCCCCCAGCCGTCTATGCCGCCCAGGATGGCCGCCGCTGTGGCGAGCGGCGCCTCGCGCAGCCGCCGCCCAGGCCTGCCCGCCTCCTGGTGGGGGGAAGCAGTCTACGTCGAAGTCGAGCGCCCTTGCAGGAGACTTCGCCGGCAGCTGCATCGCCATATGCTCGCAGCATCTGCAAGGGCTCCTAAGTTCGCGCTTCGCGCTGCGCGAAGCGCGAAGCGCGAATGACTTCGCGCTGTCGCGCCGCCCCCCAAGGGGGAGAAGAGGAGGACGAGGAGGAGGGGGAGGAGGAAGGAGGACGGCGAAGCGCGAAGCGCGAATAACTTCGCGCCCTCCTGGGAGCCCTTGCATCTGTGTGCGCCGCTGTGAGCGAAGGGGATTCGCTCAGCCATGTCAACCTTTGCTGCCTGTGCTTGCCTGCTTTTTCAATTGAGGTGATCTGGTCGCCAACGGAGACCTCGTTGCCCGCCCTGGCGACGCCTCCAAGCAGAGTGAGGCCACCTCGGGATCGGGTAAGCTGCGCGATCAAGGATTCTTCGTTTGGCGTGAGTTGCAGCCCAGCGCTCTCCCAACGTCGCTGCTAACTAGCCAAGCAGCCGACTTGCCGAGGTTGAGCTTCCTGTCACTCCCCTCCACGGCCTCCCCGATTCGCTGAAGTAGCCACCGGTGATGATGGTGGTGGTGATGATGACGACGGCGATGATGACGATGGCGATGAAGATGGCGATGACGACGATGACGACAATGACGATGACGATGACGACGACGGTGACGACGACGATGGTGATGCTGATGATGGTGATGATGGTGGTTGTGGTGATGATGAAGAAGATGATGTTGATGCCAGTAATGGCGATGATGATGACGGTGATGATGATGATGCCGATGATGCTGATGCTGATTGTGATATCACTGTGATGCTGATGAGGAAGCTGATGATGCTGATGATGATGTTGATGGTTACGATGATGGCGATTCTGACGATGCTGCTGATGATGAGGATGGTGCTGCTGCTGCTGCCGATACTGATGATTCTAATAATGACGATGATGAGGATGCTGATGATGACGACGATGCTGATGATGCTGATGCTGATGCTTATGCTTATGCTTCTGATGATGCTGATGCTTATGATGATGGTGACATCGATGATGATGATGATGATGATGATGATGATGATGATGATGATGATGATGATGCTGATTATGATGATGATGATGATGCTGCTGATGATTATGAGTATGCTGCTGCTGTTGCTGACGATGATGTTGCTGCTGATGATGATGCTGATTCTGAGTATGATGATGATGATGATGATGATGATGATGATGATGCTGCTGATGCTGATGCTGATGCTGATGCTGATGCTGATGATGATGATGATGATGATGATGATGATGATGATGATGATGTCGATGCTGATGATGCTGATGCTGATGTTGATCCTGATGAGGAGGATGATGATGCCGATGATGACGACTGAACAGAGCCGGGGCTCAGGATGAGGACATTCGGGGGGAAGCAGTCGAGCCCACTGCCCCGCTTCGGTCGCGCATGTCA